TATCTTTTTATTTTTTTTTATTTTTTTTATTTAATTTTCCACCCTTTTTCTTTTTTAAACACGTTTTTAAGTAACTAACTTCGAACTTGTCCGTAAGAATCTGCAAACGTTTTTTAAATAACAAACAACTGAACTTGAACTTCTCAATATGAATTTGTACACCAAAGCAAAAAAAAACTTCAAACAGAAACATTTATTTATTTTATTTTCAGAAAGGTGGAAAGTATCGATTGAGTTGGCCAGGCAACTTATAGAATTCATCATTCCTAATATCTTTATTATAGTGCATAAATTTATCCCACCAATAAGATCCATTATCTTTACGCTCTTTCTCGTCCGTCCCGTGCGGCAATGTGCAATCCAATACAACCGCAACTACCGCAGCCACAGTCGCGTTCGACGTAAATATAACACACATTATATCATTGAACTGCATGCCCAAAAAAAAAACAACAAACTCTTAGTTTTTAGTGTAAAAAGGTGCAATGTGTGAATATATAATATATATTATATGTGTATATATATATGTACCCATCCTGCATGAATGTTGTGCGTTGGATCATCATTTCTTGAATTCAGATAATGATCTCTAAAATATTGTGGCAGAGAAATTCCAATGAAAAATGATAGCCCTAATAAAAGCTTTGTCCTGAAACTGTTTAAATTGCAGAATTGAAGGTATCCCAATCCTGCAGATGCTGCATCAAGATTGAATTTTTATTGCAAAACATTGGTTAATAATAACATTATTTTCAAGTAAAATGAATAAATAATACTTACAGACATAACCAAAGAACATGCAATAAGAGGCTGCCATTATTGGTGAAGGTATTGAAGCAAAAATTGCTCCAAATTTCCCTGTTTCAAGAATTAGTCAAATCATTCGATTTTAATTTTTTTCTTCGGTTTTTTCCGAAACACAATGCAGAATTAATGCTAGTGTTGGATTTCTATTTGCGTATACCTAAAACGGAGAAGAAAATCATGAACAGTGACGATATTTGAACGACTCTTCTACTTCCTGCTTTTGTCAAGGCTAATAGACCTGCATTTTCTCTATATTATTACAATAAAAAAAACACTTGGTTAGAAAGATGTTTTATAAATATATGTAGATGGATTATTTGAACATTGATTCTTACACTATTGCAGTGGAACCGGTGACACTTCCGAAAAGGGCATTGATCAAAGTTCCGACCCCCTAAATACACAATAAATCGATCATAAAACAAAACGGATTAAATTTTCGATAATTAATTTAGAAGATCAGAAACAATGGTGTATAATATGTTTAATTTGATTATTAATTACCAGCCATCCGATTCCACGGCTAATTACCGAAGGTGGAACCGGTGTTGCACTTCCGTATCTTGCTGCTGCAAGAAACGAACCAGTCGACTGCCAAAAAAAAAAATAAAAAAAAATTAGTATAAAAAAGATGAGATATTCAAAGTTTAGATTTAGAGGATAAAGTGTAAGACCTCGACCGAAGCAACGAAAGAAGCTACAATCGCTGCAAAAATTCCTCCGGCCCCGAAAGAGGGAGGCCCCCATTGAAATGGAAACGGTACGTAGAACCTGAATTCGTATATTACATACACGAAAATGTGACACGTATTTTTTAAATTAAAATGGTAGATAATATATATAGTGGGATAATAATAAGTACCAAGAAGCACCACTAATGAGTCCGGAGCTATCGGTTCGACAACTACTATTTTTCGAGTTCTTATAAGCGCCACTCCAAGTTAAAATCTCCGCGTATAACCACACGATTGCAACGGAGAACAAGAGTGCAAATCTATCACATATGGGCCTTTTCAACTTTATAAATCTTGAAAGATACTGCAAAAAAAAATATAAAAAAATAAAAAATCAATATTTATTGTTTTTCGTAAGCGTAAAAATACGAACTTGCTTGTCAACTCAGTAACTTGCCTGTGAGATGAAAATAATGATAATCAGCTGCGGTAACCCAACTTCAACGCATTTCGCAATCTACATCAATTTTTACAAGATATTTTTTGAGTATGAAGCGAAAATGAAATTTATTCGACTACGAAACGATTTAATTGAGTAAAATGCAATTTTTACCAGTGGAAATCCAAGGTGGTATAGTCCAAGTCCAGTGAAAGTAATCAACGGAACCATCGATAGAGGGCTAAAAAGCCTAAGACAAAAGAATAAATAGTTAGACGCAGAAAAATTGCGTGTAGCTATTTATAATATATAGCAAAAAAAAAAAAATCACTCGTAAATCGTAACTACTGACCTTACTATGTTTCTCCACAAACCAAGAAAACCAATGATCATTTGGAAACACGACGTAAGGATTAAAGCACCTTGTATTTCTCTCATCGTCTCCAAAAACCTCTGCGAAAATAAAAATCAAAGTTCTCCGACAAATTAAACTTTTTCTCGAACGAATATAACGAAACAACGAGACGGATGTAATTAATAACATTAATAACTAAACTCACCTGCTCTGGATTTTGTATGAGTGTGTATTTTTTTGAATGGATAATCGAAGTTACGGGAATCAAGAACGCGTAGGAACCTCCTATTACAGACGGCAGCCTTGTTCCGAAAAATGAATGCAGTAACGTATTTAGCCCCGAAACGAATAGTAAGGTTTGTACTACCTTAGCCTTGTCCTTCTGCAATTCAATAAAACAAAGGGTGGTTGAATTATTATTATATATATTTTGTAACTCAATAATATTATTATTGACATTTAGAAATAAATAAATAAAAATAGAGATTAATTAATTATATATCAAGCTTACATCACTGCCTCCCATTTGGTGAACTACCATACTTGGAATTAAGACAATAGAACCAAGTGCCAGAAGATAATGCTGAAATCCCAGAAAAACTGTTTCTACTGAATCAAGAAAAAACACAAATTTATTTAATAATGAATAAATTAAATAAAACCGAAAACAAAGATAATAATTAATAAAAAAAAATCGAATTAGCGAGTGAAAATTTACGCCAAGGTGGCGGGCTGTTGATGCAATATTGAACGCCGGGAAGCTGTTCGAAGACTGGATGCGGCTCGGCCTCCGTCGGCATGTTAGCTTCTCTTCCATTGTTGTTTTGATTACTATGGCCATTGTTACCAGACATTTTTTTATTCTTTTTTTAGAGAAAAATGAATGTACAAAGAGCTAATTAACAAAATATTTCCTTTGATATGTATGTATAGAGTTGTTGGAGCTGGAATTTAATACCTGAAACTGTTAGCCAAAATTATGAATCATATATTCATGCATTTATTGAAATTGATTTGAGGGTTTTTAAAAAAAAAAAAATTCCTAAGGAGTAGCTAGAGGGTTTATTTCTTTGAATTTAGTCATAATTGTGATAGATATTGCTGTTTTCTGATTATGATTAATTAATGTGTACAAAGAATTTGGTTTTGATGTTTGTTTGCATGGAATTGTATCTTTTGGGAGTCCTGTAATCAGATTATTTACATTTAATTTGATTTGGTTATATAATTTAATTTAATTTGACAATCGGGCTATGTGAGTCGAGTTTGGGTTGGCTCAATCTCACATACCATCGAGCCTCATCAATATAGGATCAAACTTACATACCATCGGACCTTATTACTACAAGCTTAAGCTCGGCTCATGTATTTATTCGGGCTTCGGGTTTATGTCTGGCTTATATCGAGCAATATATAAATTTATGTTGCAACTTTGCAGCGAACGTGTTTAGAAAAACTCGACTAATAAATGAACCAAGTTTAATTAAATAGCTCAAACTTGGTCTGACTCACTAAAAATAAAGTTCGACTCAAATATAATTGGACCGAGTTATGGAACTTGGGTCAAATATAATTTGTATGAATTTAACAACATATTATAAGGGCCCAAGGCCCAAAAGTGAGAACCAATTCATCATGCAAGGCCCAGTAATATGATCCAGGTCACAACTTTCTCTGTCTTCAACCAGAACCCTTTCTCTCTCTACCCTCGTCTTCACCGGAAACTCTCTTTTTCATCTCGAACATCAATCTAAACAAAGGTAAATCCCTTTTTTTTCTGTAGAATTTTAACTGATTTTAGTCAAAAAATCGTTTCCATGTAGCTCTTGGGTTTCAATTCGAGCCCTAGGGTTTTTTTCTTTTCTTTCTCATTTCAAAATTAGTTCAAGTTATTGCTGATACTGCTTTACATTCTTCATTTGCGTTTTTTTGATCCTATTTTTTCAGTGTGTATGGCTAATTATGCTGCATTTTTTGTTGTGTTATGAATCGATAAGCGGATTCAAAATAAAAAAATAATTAATTTGTATTGAATCATATTTCTCTGTCACTGTATGGCTAAATAGATTAGTGAATTAATACCCTTTCAACAGTTTAATTAACTTGGTTCATCAGTAAAATCCTTAATTCTCACTAATTGATTTGTAGAATATGGTTTGGGATTTTTTTTTTTTTTTTTTTTTGTTGTGTTTCTTTTGATCTCATTTAACTTGTCAATTCTATTAGGTCGAATTATGCAACTTGAATTCAATTACTTACTACCTGGTAAATTCTCGGTTGTGGACTCGATATTTAGGGGGAAAATAGCATTAGTGGATAGTGGTAGACTGGTAGTTTTGTATCTGGATTCACGAACCATTGATCCTGAATTTCATGATCGACGTTTTTTCTTCGCAGATCATTTCCAAGTTTTTACGTGTAAATTATGGTTCTTTGGTTCATATATTCGATATTGTATCTGCCATATAGTAGATACAACTATTGTATCTCTACATTTGCCATACGGTATGTTCAAACTATGTGTGGAGTCGGGCATTAGATCTTGTCTAGAATTTTTTTTTATACAATTACGCCCATGGGATTGTTTCCGAGAGTTTTTTTTCTTATGATACGAACAATGCTTGAGAAGCTTATGGTGTTAGTATCTGTTTTTATGCCCGTGTTTAATTACTAATTCTGGATTTGGAAAAATTGATTGTTTTTGTAATTAGATATATAGGAAAAGATGGGTGACAAGAAGAAGGCCGGTGCAATGTTGGTGAGGCTGGTTTCAGCTGCTGGGACAGGTTTCTTCTATGTGGTGAAGAAGACAAAGAGGCTCCAAAGCAGCAACATTAAACTCGAGTTCCGTAAGTACGACCCTCGTGTGGGCCGCCACGTTTTGTTCACTGAGGCAAAGATGAAATGATTTCATCTTCGCCTTTCATTAATCATTTTTTTTTTCTTTTTTGCGTAAAGAATTGTTCCGATGAAGTCGGCTTACTAGGATTTAAGAGTTTCTTACGTGACAATGGTGTGGCTTGTGCATTGTCAATTTTGGCGATAACTCCGACCCACACCTTGTCTTGCTGTTCATTGAAATGTTAGCTGAATTTCTGGTATTTGATTTACTGAAATACGACGTAGCTCTTTTTCAAGAAAGGTTGTGTCAACGAGGATGACGTAAGGTTCTGGATGATGACATCACAAACATCACGATTGATGTATTTGTTCGTTTATATTTTCCCACTTTCTCAGACTGTTGATTCTAAACTTTTACCAATCAAGACACCAATTTCGGTTAGTAGCCATGGGAAAATTTTGATCGCCATTTCATCGTTTACTACTACATATTCGAATCGTACGTAGGTGCAGGCGATGTTTAGCTATTTCATCAAGCTCGTTTCGTGTTTAGTTACTTATATTTTATTTTTAACAGTATATATATATATATATACATGGACCGTTACTGTATGAAAATAAAATAAAATAAAAAGCCCAAATGTATAATACTTGGGCCGAAATTGATTTCCTTTAATTGGGCTAAAAAATTGAAAACCCTAGTTAGTAAGTAAGTAGTGGTGCACGAACCTAAGACAGAAGAGACAAAAGCACAGTAGTAATCCAAGGAGGGGCAAAACAGTAGAAAAGTGGAAAACTTTATAGATAAATTCCAAAAATAGGCGATGCACATTTAACCACATAAATATTAATTTATAGCCAAACAAATCCCTGATAGGTGTAGCCATGCATGCACCCTTACGCCACACGCGTTACTTTTCTAAAGGTCACCCTTTTCTCTCTGCTGCAAATCAGATTACCCCCACCGCCTGATTGGTAATTCCCCCACCCAATCACCCATACGTTGTATATTTCTATTATTTTATTAAATTAAATCATTTTAATTAGAGATATTTGCAATTTAAGTTCATTATAATATTAGAAAATTGAAAATATCTGGAATTTTTCTGATTTAATGTATATCTGTAAAATTAATAATTATTTTTTGGAAAAGAAAAAAAAAATTGGAAAATGGTGGGAGTGAAAAAACACACACAAATACACACAGAGAGAGTGTGAAGTGTAAGCTTGCATGTGAATATAAAAGCAGGTAGAAATCCCACATGTCCACATCTCTTACTTCCTTAAACACGTACCCACCCTACACTTCCACGTGTCATTTTACATTGTCATATTCTTTCATGTTGCCTTCCTCTGATTGGCTGTTTCCCTTCTTTAAAATTACACCCTTCTCACCACATTTTTCCTCACCTCTTCACACCCAAAATTCTTCACCCCCACCGGAAAAAATTAAAAAAATTGGTGATTTGTCAGAGAAAATAAAATTAGAGAATTTTAATTTTTCTTTTTTTTATTTTTTTCGAAAATGATTCAGACAATCAACCCCTACGCCACGGCGAGAACTGCTGAAATCATGTCCAGGTACCGGCCGATTGCCCCGAAGCCAGAGTCTCCGGCGACAGGCTCCGCGGCGGAGAACGATAGCTCCGCCGTGCCGAGTGGTATACGGAAGTCTCCTTATCTGAGGAACGTGTGGGCCCACCTCCAGGCGCGTCCGACGAGGACGCGGAAGCGCGGCCGGGCGGCTGCTTTCTCGCCGCCGTCTGTCAAGAGAGCGAGGACTTGTCTACAGGGGCTCGCCTCACCCTACCAGGGTGTGATTACCGGTTCTCCGGCGAAAAACCTGGCCATGCATGGGTTCAGTCACGCCGCCGCGGCGGCGGCAAATGGGCAGATGGGTCAGTTCTCTCTTGTTCCGCTCAACTGCGGGCCTCGACACCGCCGTCACAACCCTGGCGGAGTCGGTGGCGATGCCGCTCGTATGCCCCGCCCGCCGCCCTGGTACTGTTATCAACAAGGGGAAAGAGAAGGAGATAGATTTGAATCAAGGCCCTGAAGAACTTGATTTATTGTCTGAGCCGGTGAAGCCCAACGTCATCATCTCGCCGCGGCCGGTCCGGCCGGTGGGGTCAACCATAATCGTGAAGAGCATCGCCGGCGGTATCCAAAGTCAAACAACGGTGAAGGGGGCGGAGGAGGTGGAGGAGCTGGCGGAGGCGGAACCAACCCCGGCCATCGTCTCCGATTCGAAAAACAAGGTGAGGATAGCCAACTCGGCGTACAGGGAGATGGTGGGGCAGCCGGAATGCGGGTGGCTGGACTGCGCCGCCGGGAATAGTGTCCCCGGCGGCGCGTGGAGGAGAATCGGCGGGGAGGTGTCGCTGCAGTTTGTGGACACGGATCTGCAGCTCTCGGCGCGTGGGTTCACGTGCCGGGTGAAGATAGTGTGGGAGAGTGAAGGGAAGAACAAATGCGTGGAAGCTTCTTGCGTGGGGGTGAGATTAGCGTGTGAGGCTAAGGATTATCAGTTCTTGTGGAGGTTTCACATTGTTGACGATGAATCAATATCGGAATCTGCTAATTCCGACAATTGAAATAATATTTATATACGAACCTGTAAATTAAAAAAAAAATGTACAATCGAATTAACAATTTCTAGGTTAGATCATAGATTTAATTAATTATATTATTAATCAAGTGTTGTGATCATATAAGTATTATAGGTTTGTATATTGTTTTTCTTATATAGATACGCAGGCGTACGGATTATCATCGTCCTCAATTCTGATTGGATATTGTATTGCCTGCATTATCTGTGCAGCTTTTTTTTTTTTTTTTCTGTGTGTAAGAATTTGCAATTATAGATATTATTGAAATTTTATATTTTATTTTACGAAATTGTTTTATGGATTATGAGTTTTTAATTATAATTATTTTTAAATAATGTGTAGTATTGAAAATGTGAGTTGTAACTGAATGCTGGAAAGGCATTCGGAAACTGTGGACAGGAAATAAATCAAATTACAGTAATTTAGTAATTTAATATACAGTTGAATATTGATAAATTAATAATTTTGTTTAAATAAAGTTTTACTAGCTCTAATTAATTCATAGAGATTTAAATTTATAGAGTTTACAGTGAATTTCGTTAATCTGCTTGGGTCAAAATAATAATGTTGACTAGCATGTGTATAGTCAATCTCCACTTTATAAGAAAAATCTACCTTTTAAAGAATCTATTTTCATAGTTTTAATTGCATAGATAGTCCTTAGTTGACTTGAGATGTTGGTAAATTCATCAAATCCACCAACTAACGATACCGGCTGGAGTCTGGACCGAAAGGGACGAAAACCAAATGCCTAGACGAGTAAAAAAAGAATAAAAAAAAAATAAATAAAGATTGTAGACGAGTGTCTCTCTCCCTTTGGTACCTCTATTTGTATATCCATTTACGAGGTTAATAATTTTGTAAAAAATGGCAAATATATCGAAAGATATATAAAAGCGTACTAAAATAATAAGTGATACGCGGGATCACTCGAGTTGGGTAGCTTATGAATCAAGCTAGAAAATTGACGTTGACTACGAAAATACACATATATATATAGTTATATATATTAAATGGCCAAACTGTCCTTGAATCAGTTCATTAGGGGTAGGGGTAAAATCGTCCAGGTTTAAATAACACTATTTGGCCGATCAATTTAATTATTTAATCACTAGACTTGGGATTCTCCGTATACAAAATTTGTCCTTTCCAATTCCTCAATGCCATTTGTTCTTCAGCCAACTTCTTCCACAACACACAAATACACACACTACCACACCTCCAAGAAACACACACAAAACAATTCAATCAATGGACCTCAAAATCGATCAAAACGACGTCGCAACTCTCATCAACCTACAAACATCATACTCCAATCTCAAAACCCTCATGAAAACCTCCCTCAAAATCGACGCGCAATACGAAAAGATGGACGAAAAGTTCGACGCCATCGAAGAGAGCTTAAGCACAGCCTCGAAAAGAATAGCGCCACTACAATCTCTGTCAATAGCAACAAAAGCTCTGGACACAAGAATAAACCGCGCAATATCCCCGGCCCTAGCCCTTCTAGAAGGTTTCGAACTCGCCGAAACCCTCCAACGTAAGCTTCTCAAAATAGCCTCGAAGCTTCTATCGGAGAAGAAAAACCCTAAGAAGAGGTTGAAGAAGCTCATCGAGTACGTGGACTGCATGAACGAGTTGAACGAGTCGATCAACCGGATCGGTGACGAGACCGGACCGGCGATCCAGAAGCTTCTAGAAGTTGTGGAGTTCTTGAGCAGGACTAAAGCGACCGATTATTACAGGACGGAGCGTCTTAGGGAGACGCTAATCACGCTTAAGGCTGTTTCGGAGGCTGAGGTGGATTCGATGAGATTCGATGGGGTTTTGGATGAAGCTTTGTTGAATTTGCAGGATGAGTTTGAGGGTTTGTTGATGAGATTAAGGCATCGGATTAGTGTAACTAATGACGATTATGATAATGGTAATGATGGTGATTATGGTGTTAATGAGGGTTTGGGAAGTGATTTGGAAGTTGAGGTACTTGGGAAAATTGCTGAGACTTTGGCTGCTAATGATTGTTTGGATATATGCATTGACATCTTTGTTAAGGTAACAATTAATAATTTCTTTTTCAAAGTTTGTGTTAGTTATTTCAGAAAATATCTTCTTTTTTTTCCGGAGTGAACCACTAATTCTAATTCCATAAAAAAAAAAAAAAGGGATCTGAAAAATTGGAAATCGAAATTTAAAAATTGGAATAAAAAGCTTGTTCTTAAATTAAAATTTTCAAATTGGATTTAGCAGTATTTCTGGGAAAATACTTATTTATTTTGGAAGAGAAAAACTAATTCGAACGCCGTTTACAAGAAGTTTGGAAAAATTGAAAATTGAAATTTCGAAAATTGGAATAGAATTTCTTTTTTCCAAAATCCAATATTTTGGGATCGGAATAGGTGTAATTCGGATTTTTTTATAACAAAAAATACATAATAATATTGATGTTACATGTGTAATGTTTGGGGAAAGAATCGGAATTTTTGAAAGTTAAAATGATATCGTAAATCGAAATTGAATGATCATATCGGAAAATCTACTAGATGTTATAATTCCGTACTTAAAGAAAATCGGAAATCAAAACTTATGGAATCCGAAATGAAAAATATTGTTACCGATAATTTCCGTTCCAATTTCGACCCCTAATAGTTTCTGATCAGATCAAATTCTTTGATTTAAATTCACATGGTTTTAACTTTTAATTAACAGGTAAGATACAGAAGAGCAGCCAAAGCACTAATGAAACTAAATCCAGACTACCTCAAAACCTACACCCCGGAACAAATCGACGAAATGGAGTGGCAAAATCTGGAACAAGCAATTTCTCTCTGGATAAAGCACTTCCACCTCGCCGTCGAAACAGTCCTCCTCTCCGAAAAAACCCTCTCCAAACAAGTCCTATCAAACACCACCATTGCTGCAGATCTATGGCCAGAGTGCTTCGTCAAGATCGCCGACAAAATCATGGCCGTCTTCTTCCGCTTCGGCGAAGGAGTTTCTAGAAGCAGCAAAGACCCCCACAAGCTCTTCAAGCTTCTAGAAACTTTCGACTCCCTCGAAAATCTCAAACCTAAATTCTTCGACGTTTTCGACGGGGAGTTTTCCGGTGCAGACATTCGCTCCCGTTTTCGAGAACTCGAGAAACTACTAGTCCACGCGTCGACCAGAGTGTTTTACGAGTTCGGCTTGAAGATCGAAGGCGATATTCACGACGGTTTGGCTTTAACTCCTCAAGATGCCTCGGTTCCGAAGCTGGTTAGGTACGCGGTTAACTACCTCAAGAACTTAACCACGGTTAGTTATAGCTCGCCGATGGGTAAAGTGCTCGAGATCGAGCACCTTTGGAAAAACGGGACCCTTTCATCGGAAAACGAATTAAATGGTCAAGATTTGTTCAAGGAAGCGGTTTCCAATGTGATGGAGGCTATACAGAGGAATATCGAGTCGAAGAAATTGCGTTTTAAAGATAAAGTGCTTGCGCAAATATTTGCGATGAATACGTATTGGTACGTGTACATGAGGAGTCGAAATAGTGAGCTCGTGAAATTATTGGGGGAGGATTATATGAAGAGTAGATACAGGCATGCAGCTGAGGAATCGGCTTACTTGTACCAGAAGCTAGCTTGGGGTAGTTTGGTAAAATTGCTGGATGTTGGAGAAGAGATTAGGGGGGGTAATAGTAATTATGAGAGAGTTGGAGGACTTGTGAGGGAAAAAATGGAGAGTTTTATGGTTGGATTTGATGAGATTTGTAAGAGGCATAATATGAGTGGTTTTGAGATTGTTTGTGATGCTGATTTGAGGGAGCAGATGAAGGATGCTACTTTGAGGTTGGTTTTGCCGGTTTATACTGAGTTTTTCGATAAGTACGAGCCGGTTTTGGTAAAGTTGAAAATTACGCATTTGCCCCCCGAATCGGTTGAGGCAATGTTGAGGGGGGTTTTTGAGGGGGGTGGTGGTGATCAAGGGGGTAGTGATGGAAAATCGAATCTTGTTGGACGGAGTGGATCGAACGACCGGATTGATCGGAGGGTGGTCGTTGATCGGAAGCGGTTTGGGAAAGATAATCGACGGTTGGAATTCGATAATAGTGATTTGTGAATTTTGAAAAAAAAAATGATTCCTATTAAGTTTTCATGTTGGCGTGGTTTTATTCTGTTTTTTTTTCTTTTTTTTTTTTTTTGGTTTTGGTGCTTAGTGTAGTTTGTTGTTGTATGAATATTGCCTAAAAATCGTGTATTGAACTAAAACCGTGTTTGGTTTCAATTTTTAATATTTGTACCGTAAATCAAATTAATTTGGGAAAAAGAAAATTAATTTGGGGATTTGGAGTAAGACTAAATTTTTTCAATTTAATTGAAATGTTTGCTAGATTCTAAATTGGGAAAAATATAGTTTTTATCCCTCAAGTTTGTACAGATTTCACATTTGGTCCCCATATTCACAGAAAACACATTTGGTCCCTTATATTTTAAAATTCAACACTTTTAGTCATTTTCGACTATTTTACGTTAAAAGCAACGGAATCAAGCGTGTGCCTTCCAGCCTTAACTAACGGACTAACAGTATATTAACAGAAATGACCAAAAGTGTGAAATTATTTAAACATAAGGGATCAAATGTATTTTTGGTAAACATAAGGGACCAAATTGAATTCATCCAATTTTCACTAAAAGAATATTCCAAACTTTCAACTGTAAATCCCCAACTCCAGATTTCCGGTAAATTATTTCTATCTTCGTCCCCATTCTTCCACCAATCAATCAAAAGCTGCCAACGACTGTAATTCAACCTCGTTTCGGACCTCATTTCCCGTCGGGATTCAATTCGACATCGGCACAATCCAAACAATTGTTCAGACGAAGGAAGAAAAAGTCAAAATCGAAATGGAGGAAACATCAATTCCGTTGCCGTTCGGCGATTTCCCCGACGACGTGCAGCTCTGCGTGCTGTCCTTCCTCCTCCCCGCCGACCTCGCCGCCTTCTCCTGCACCTGCAAGCGCTTCGTCTCACTCTACCGCCACGACCAGCGCCTCTGGTTCTCCATGTGCCACCGCCGATGGGGTTCCAAAACCCTAATTAATAGATGGGGCAGCGGCAAAATCTCCTACAAAATCCTCTACCGCATCCTCCACGAGTACGACAACCTCATCGGATTCTGGCGCCGCTGCGGCGACGCCGCCGCCACCGCCGCCTCGTCATCCTCCCCGCTCGTGTTCTTCGAGTGGGCCCCGTTCTACATCACCTGCTCGAGGATTACCCCGTCTAAAGACGGTGGCTACGAGGTCATCAAGAAGCCATTTTTATGGATGAGCGTTGCTTCGAACGGAGAGCCGGTGAATTACCTCGATCCGGATGGGAAATTTGCGTTGACGGAAGAGGATTTGATGGGGGAATCTGGTCTTGCTGAGAATGAATTGATTCAGGTAAATGTTAGTTTCATAGGTGAATGCCATGCTGTGGTGGAGGAAAATTTAGGGTTTTCTGGATTTGGGAAGGATTCGAGCTCGGGGAATTTGAGAGGTGAGGATTATGAGAACGTGTACGGATCTCCGCCCGACAAATTGATGACGGAGATTTATCAGTACTTTGCGAATAGGACAAGTCCTTCTGGTAATGGATCAAGGAGGCAGAAAAGAAAGGGGAAGGATAAGCAGGGGAGAATAAGGAAATGGGAGCCTGAGCATTTCGTCAAAATCGTAAATTGCTCGCCCAAACCCGCCCGCCCATTGCAGGGCCTTTGGAAGGTATTGAGATTTAACAAAGTTTTAATCTTGCTAAAATCTATTGAAAATTTGTGACATGTAATTCTTTTGTCGATTTTATTCGTTCTTGCAAAATTTCGTGATTTTGTAAAATTGAGGGTCTGCATGATTGAAGAAGTTTGAGATGGTTGCATTTTACTCTGCTATTTTTCGAATTGCTTCGTGCTTCTCATAATTCGAAGCAAACCAGATTCTGCATTTATTGATAAATAAATGGCTTTATTGGAAATTATATTCAAACGATTGTTGTTGTTATTGTTTTGGTGATACTCTGTTTTATGCTCTGCTTCCAACCGTCTGCTTCTCTCTGCCTTAACAAGTATCGATCTTGAACGGGTTTCTTTTTTTTTTCTTCTCAATAACCTCTTGGCAATCGATTTTTTTCACTCTTGCCAGTCTGATTGTAACTAAATTTAGACTGCAATGATGGAGCTTTAGATTAAAATTGAAATTTGTCTGCTCAAGTAGAATTGTCGACCTGTACGACTACGCAATTATGTCCCGGACACAATTTTGTGATGTGTAGAAATTATCGGCCTTACATGATTGAAGCAGCTTCAAAAGGTTGCTATTTTCAAACTGCTTCATGCTTCTCTTAATTCAAAGAGAACCAGATTCTGCATTTATTATTGAATGACTTTTCATAGAAATTTAATTCAAAGAATTCTTGTTATTACTGTTTTGTTCACATTCTGTTTTACATCTGCAATTTACCATCTTTTCTTATACATTTTAATCTGCAATTGCTGCTCATTTTTTTTTTAAACTTTTATTACAGGGTATTTGTGAGAACATGAGTTTGGACTTCTATCTAGTGTCCTACGACGATGTGGGAGGTATTGCTTGCCGTAAAGTTGGAGACTCGAACAGAGCTCTAACTTACCACGCCCCGATATTCTGGACATCAAATTTGACGTTTATCGAATCTCCATTTTCTCCCGAAGAGGATCACATATACAATTGCCGCTTGCATCTCAGGCCACCTGTCGAAGCAGATCAAAGCCTGCTTTTATCGTCAGACAGTCGAGATATTTCTGTTTCCCACATGCTTTACATCAACTCGAGCTACGACTTAGTTATTCCAGACTTAGTGGGGACCATTGCGAATCCTCGGCAGATGGAGGGAAGAATTTGGCAGTATGAAAACGGGACGTTCGGTTTTGGGTTTTTACGAGACAGTTATATTATAGACCTCAAGCATATTGCAGTAGATGGTCATCTTCTTGATACAGTATAACCATGCAATTCTTGATTGTGTACCTTTTTTTACAAGACATTAGTGTAGATTTCCTTGCTTAGGAATTCTATTTGTACATTAGAATATTTCTGAAATTTTTTGTAGGTGTTTGCTATTTGTGGTACTGTGTAACAGTATTTATTGAGAAATAAAACATTTAATTGTTTTTAATAGTTGCCATTGGCTCATTGTAATAATATCTTCTGTCTTCTTAGACTCTGTTTGGATCAAGAAAAATGTCAACTAAAATAGATTTTTGGTTCAGTTAGGTTGTAAATACGATATAAAATGTTCGAATTCTAGATTTTCATTTGTTTTTGTATTTTCGTTTTCTTCATTTCAAAATCCATGAACCGATCAGAGCTTTAATATTTTTGACATATCATCATATTTTTGGCATTGGTAAAAATTACTTGTCTGCAGGTTCACAAAATCAGCCTTTATTATTATATTATTTTAAACACCAACAAAATTTGAGGTCACAAGACAAAAATGTCAATCAAAAGACAGGTTCATACATAAATTTGGAAACATTACATCGACTACAAAAGGGTTTCTCAAGCTCGAACTCATTCTTGATCGCTGGGAAGTGGGTCGAACTCGAAGAGTTGAAAAAGGGAAAACAAATAATTGAAAAAAACTTGGCGCGTATTTTATTTGAAAAGGGATTAAGATTACTCAGATACAGAAGTGGCTTTGTCGTGATCGCCCTCAAGCTGACTTAAATTGCCTTTCTCCTTAATAAGTTGAAGATGGTGGTGCTTACAGTACAAACGGCCCTCGTGTGCGATATAGTTTGATGGACTAATGACACATCCTCCATGGCTGCATTTGAAGCAACTCTTGTGGTACGCTGTTCCATTCACAGACACCTGTTCGAGACAATTTATTTATTGCACGGAATTTATCATTTAATTACTCGTGAATGTATTCTTTTGGTTATTAATAGTATTGGTTTTGGGTTTTACCTTCTCAGTTGGGTAGACTGTGTTCTTGCAGGCGAGGCATTTCTCTCTTGTTCCCACGAACATACCTATCATTTTATTTGCCTGTGGTTTCTGGATCAAGAATTATATGATATATCAATATTTAGAGAGAAAAAAAAAACATTTTTCGTATAACACGTGTAATCATTGGTTTATACGACGAATATTTATAGTCCCTCAACAAGAATTCTTACCTCAGTGTCAGAAGGTTTCTCCGGTTTCGCAATCTTCGGTGTTCCTATGTAGGATAAGTAAGCTAGTGTAAGTATTATTGACTTCAAAACTCAACACACACACACACACACACATATGTATATATTGTGTAATAGTCTAAAAGAAATGTATATATTGTGTAAGTATATACCATCGAAGCTTTTGTCAAGGCTTCCAGTTCTTTTGAAGAGCTGATCAAAGTGTGGCCTGCAATAGAGCACTCCCTCGAAAGAGTTGTAATTGGCCAGCTGTAATTAGGACACACCAAAAACGTTTTTAACATTAAAAATATGAAACTTCCCCTTAACCAATTAAAGATTCTTTCTTCTTTTTTTTTTTTTTTTTTTTGTTTTGTTTTGTTTTTTTATCTAATGGCTTGATGGAGCACAGATCTACTGAAAACAAACAGAACATTCCCAGATTTACAAGAAACAGAACTGCAAACTAAAACAACAAATCTTGGAATATTTGCACTGATAAAATTAGTTTAAGAATACCAATTGAATAACCACTAAATTAAGCCCAGAAACCACACACACGCACATATTTTCACATTATTTTATCCAAGATCTATATTTCAATGGGCAACTGAGAAGCCAAGAATTTGCAGATCAATTCAATTGTGCAACAGAAAAATGAAAGTTAAAATTAATACATAAAGCTGAAGAATTTAAATCATACCACAAGAAATTGAGATTAGAGAGAGAGAGAGAGAGAGAGAGAGAGAGAGAGAGAGAGAGAGAAAGAGAGAAACACACAGTAACCTTGAGAGTTCCATTGCAATGGTGGCATCTAAAGCAAGCTTTGTGGTAAACTCTGTTATCTGCCGTCAACTTGTCCACCAAATAAACAGTCTTATCACAGGCCATGCATTTCTGTGTTGTTCCTGCAAAAGCCATCCCAATCAATATTTTGCTCTCTTCAATTCCCAACCAAGAAACTGAGAAACTACTGATTTTCACTGTGTGTTGTGTGTTTTTCTTTTTCTTTTTAGAAGTGGGTTAGATAAGGGCAGGTTTGGAGAGAAGGGTATGAGTGAGTTACAGGGAATATATATATTGAGGGGTTGTCTCTATCTTTTTTGTCTCGATGAACTTTATCGAGTTATTTTTAATCCTGTATTTAAGCTAACAGTTCAAATTCACCGTGCGTAACATCTACAATACAATAATTAATTGGAGAAAACAGCTATTTCGCAATCATTTGGTCTTTTATCACACCTACCCGGTCCATAATACACCCGGGTAAAATGTAGATCTTTACCGTTTATATATACATAATACGCACACACCCACCTTGGTATGGTATGTGTAGATTAACAATAAAAATTCATTCAGTGTAACACAGAAGCATCCACCCCAACTACCATTTTGCTTCTGTCTCTTTCCTTTATTTTTTATTATTGCTTCTTTATTTGCTATCTTCTTTACTTGAATTATCTCTACCGACATTCCTTTTTTCAAATGAAAGCATTAAATAATTAATAAACGTTTTTTATAAGATAACTGTTCTGCACTTTATTTCCAGATTTGTTACTTTCAAATTTTCTACGAAGATAACTGTTAAAAAGGTGTTAATTGCAATTACTACCCCTAGGAAATTTCGATCTGAGTTTTTAGTTACTGCCATAAAAAAAAATGACAAATACCCCCTCAATGGATATCAAATGACAAAACTGCCCATCAATTTTGCATGTCTCTTCTCTCTCTTCTTCCCCGTTTTTTTTTTCTCTCTCTCGACGGAAGAATTAGGTCTGTGGAGAATGCCTTTTTTTTTTTTTAATCTTCGATCAGGTGAATTCATCAGAAGAGAAATGAATTGCTACTTTGTGGAATTCAAATTCAGCAGAAGAGATTAGACCGATCTTACCTTGAATTGATTTCGCCGGATCAATTGATTCGTTGAAATCTGGAGATGATTTCGAATGTCGAATTTGGGGATCTATGGAGGTGTTGGATGTTGTTACCTCCCGGAATGATTTCGGTGTAGCGATCTCTATTGATTCGGATGGCTCCGGCGGGTTAGAAATGGGCGCCGCCGGCGCCGGCGCCGGCGTACCTGTAAAGGTGGCAGGGGGGTGGACAATTGGTTTCCCCTTCACCGATGCCAATAGTTCACGAGACAGGGGAGGGAAATGTTGGTCGAACGTCGAAACTTCGTCAGGCTGCATTTTCCGCTGACCTGACCGGAACAATGTCGCCGGAATCTGCTCGTCGGAAGGGAAAAAGTCAACGCCGGATTCAGAGTTGATTTGTCCATTTTCGCACAATTCCAAGCACTGCGGACATGGCTTCTCTTTTGATGGAATTTCCCTTTTTTGCTTTTTCGGAATTTTGCTTTAATATTCCAATATAGATCTGTGCATTGACTAAATATAAAACAATCATAAAATATTTTAGATGAAAAATACAAAATAATTAAGTAAATTTATATTTATAAAAATTAGAAACAAATCTGTTACAACACAAAATCTTTTAAAATCTAATTACAGGAATTGTATGATAATTTAACAAAAGTTTACAAAATTCAATCGTGCTTTTCTAATTTAAAATATATATATATATATATATATATATATATATATATATATATATATATATATATATATATATATATATAACAAAAATAAGCATAAATAAAATATTAGATTTTAACAAATATTTTTTAAAAACTTTTTTTTTACCCATCTATTCGTTATTGGTATTTACTGAAGGGGCATTTCGGTCATTTCATGGTTGGGAATTTCACGTGGATTAAGTAATAATGCAATTAACTAAACAAAGAAAGTCATAATTGTTTCTTGCAATCTAATTGAGGTCACATGTTTGGTAGGAGCCCACATTGGTTGGGCTCATCATCATGTGAATTTTTTGAATTTTATTTCCTTAACGTGTGAAATGGTAATTTAACATGAAAAGATTGTCACAATCACAAATATATGTTTTCATCATTGGCATTAGAGTAAATTAACACTTAGCCCTCTACGGTTTGATCATATTACATATAACCTCCTTATATTTTCATATTGCAGATGACTTTTTTGTCATATTTTACTTGACAAATATTTTTTCTCGATAGGAAGATGGTAAATTTGAAAATACAACAGTACGTTAAAATATAAGGAGTTGTGTGCTATTGTGTTTATATCGAAAGTATAAGAAAGTTATGTGGAAAATGGTCAAACCAGATAAGACTTAAAGTATTAGCGTATATTATTATTATTATTATTATTTATTATAGTTACCTTATACATTAGGTTACCTTGTATATTAGATTACCTTGTGTAGTAGGTTAGGGTTTCCTACATGTAACTATATATATTCTCAATATACGTAAGAGATATCATTCTCTCTTCTCTCCAATTATTCTCCTTCTATCATGGTATCAGAGCCAAAAACCCTAAGGCCGCCGTTTCTCCCCTTCTTCAATTTTTTTTTCTCGTTCTCCAAACCCTCCACGGTCTACCAAAACATTACGGGACCATTGTCAACCTAATCTCCTTCCAAACTCCATTACCTTCTTTTCTCCAAACACGTTCACTACTCCAGATGGAAGAACAGCGCATCGCTGAACCGGAGCAGACCCCTACTGTTCTCTACGCATCTCGCCCCAACAGTTCCAACAGTTGGCCGAACAGTGGCAACAGTTGGCCGAACAGTTCCAACAGTTGGCCCAACACTCCTAGCAATTTTCGAGGTGGTGGTTCTTGGCGCAATCAGCGAGGTGGTGGTCGCACGAATCGTCGTGGCGGTCGTGGTCAGTCACGACATCCGATGCAACACTACGGTTACAATCAATTTCACCACCAATCGCAACCTTGGCGGGCCACTTATACGCCTCAGACACCTTCATCGATTCTTGGACCCCCCCCAAGCTCTCCTGGTCCTTATCATGCTCCTACAGCTCATGCTTATTTCGTTGGACAGCAAGATCCCCAACAGCACGTGAACTGTTCCAACAGTTCGTCGAACAGTGGTCCCCTACAGCCAACAGATCTTGCCACTCATCTCAACACGTTGACCCTTCAATCATCGAGCGAACCTCAGTGGTTTATGGACACGGGCGCCTCATCTCACATGGCACCTCACTCAGGTAATTTCCATTTTATTTTTAATCCTAGTAATAATTTTCCCAAGCATGTCATCGTTGGTAATGGATCCACTGTTCCTATCCATAAAATTGGCCACACCATCCTACCCTCTACCCCATTTCGTCTAACCAATGTCTATGTTACTCCTCACATCATTAAGAACCTTGTGTCTGTCCGAAAATTCACTAGAGATAACTCTTGTTCAGTTGAATTTGACCCTTATGGCTTTTCTGTGAAGGACCTTCGGACCAGAGCAGTCATCCTCAGGTGCAATAGCTCCGGTGATTTATACCCTATTGGCGCCCCTTCTCCCAGCCCATCCGCAACCGCCCTCCTTGCTCACACCACGTCTGTCTCCTCTACTACATGGCATCGTCGTCTCGGTCACCCGGGAAACCCTGTCATGTCTCGTCTTTTTTCTTCCAATTTAATTTCTAGTACCAAAGACCCACGGGAGTCTCTTTGTAATGCTTGTCAATTAGGCAAACATTCTCGTTTACCTTTCTTTACTAGTCATTCTATTACCGTTGCACCTTTTGAAATTATTCATGCTGATCTATGGACCTCTCCTATTTCTAGTATTTCTGGTTTCAAATATTACCTCGTGCTAATAGATGATTTCACCCACTATACATGGACTTTCCCCATACACTATAAATCCGATGTTTTCTCACTGTTCCAACAGTTTCACAAACTTATACAAACACAATTTCAGCACCCCATTAAAGCTTTACAATGCGATAATGGACGTGAATTCAAAAATACAGATTTTCAAACATATTTTGCCAAACACGGTATCTTACACCGTTTCTCATGTCCCCACTCTTCCCCTCAAAACGGACATGCCGAACGCATGATCCGCACCATCACAAACATGATCCGCTCACTTCTCTTTCAAGCTTCCCTTCCCCCCACCTATTGGGTCGAAGCCCTTCATATGGCTACACATCTCATCAACATCCTTCCTACCAAATCCACACAAAATCGCACACCACATGAATCCCTATACAAATCAAAACCCACATACTCTCACCTTCGTGTCTTCGGTTGTCTCTGTTATCCCAATTTAACCGCCACCACCCCTCACAAACTCGCCCCTCGCTCTACTCCTTGTGTCTACCTTGGTCACCCCTCATCGCACAAAGGCTATCGTTGCCTCGATCGGTCAACCGGTCGAATCATTATCTCCCGCCATGTGATCTTTGATGAAAGCCGTTTTCCATTCGCTGAATCCACCGACTCACCCCACAACTCCCCCACCTCTAATATGACCGAACCCCTGCACCCACTTCTCTTCCTTCCTCAGCCTACACAAGTCCAACCACATGTCTCACAAAACTGTCCCAATAGTTCGTCCAACAACAATACACAACCACCTACGGTTACAACCAACTGTCCCAACAGTTCGTCCGACAGTCCTCCCTCAACTACACCCATGCCCCTCCACCCGACTGCATCTCCACAACCAGCAGAACCACAGCCTCCCACTCCCACTTCCTCACCCCCACCCAACCATCCTATGTTGACACGCAGCAAGGCCGGTATTCACAAGCCCAAAATCCCCTTTTCTCTTACCGTGTCTACCGCATCCCAAACTCCCACTACATATCGCCATGCCCTCCTTGATCCAAACTGGCGTATGGCCATGCTTGAGGAATATACTGCTTTGATTAAAAATAACACATGGGATATTGTGCCCCGCCCCCCTTCTACTAATGTTATCAGTGGCAAGTGGTTATATAAGCAGAAATTGAAGGCTGATGGTTCATTGGAACGGTATAAAGCACGATGGGTTGTTCGCGGTTTTGATCAACGCCCTGGCATAGATTTCGATGAAACATTCAGTCCGGTGGTCAAACCAGCAACTGTTCGAACAGTTCTCAGTCTTGCTCTCTCGCGATCATGGCCTATCCACCAACTTGACGTGAAAAATGCCTTCTTACATGGCAATCTCTCTGAAACTGTCTACTGCGAGCAACCTCCCGGATTCGTCGATCCATCTCGCCCCACTCACGTGTGCCGTCTCAACAAAGCACTCTACGGCCTCAAGCAGGCACCACGTGCTTGGTACAAGCGTTTTGCATCTCACATTACTAGCATGGGGTTCAGAGAATGCAAGTCCGACACTTCACTCTTTGTGTACTGCCGCAACAGTTCCCGCGACTGTGCAACAGTTCACGCGACTGTCGCAACAGTTCATGCGCCTACCTTCTGCTGTATGTCGATGACATTGTACTCACGGCCTCCACACCTGAATTGCTACGTTCTATCACCGCTGCCCTTACTCAAGAGTTCGCAATGAAGGACCTTGGCGATCTTCACTACTTTCTCGGCATCTCAGTCACTCGCTCGTCGAATGGGTTGTTTCTCTCTCAACGCAAGTACGCTGACGAGATACTAGAGCGTGCACACATGGCCTCCTGCAACCCTTGTCTTACGCCAGCTGACACAAAGAGCAAGTTGTCCTCAACCACTGGACCCCCCGTTGCTGACCCCACTCTTTATCGCAGCCTTGCCGGTGCACTGCAATACCTCACGTTTACTCGTCCTGACATCTGCTATGCTGTGCAACAAATATGCCTATTCATGCATGATCCGAGGGAACCTCATATGGCTGCTCTCAAGCGTATCCTTCGCTACATCCGTGGGACTCTCGATCACGGCCTTCAGCTCTCCCCCAATCCGGACCTCTCACTTATCGCCTACTCCGACGCCGATTGGGGTGGCTGCCCTGACACTCGTCGTTCGACATCGGGCTATTGTGTTTTCCTCGGCAACAACCTCATCTCTTGGTCCTCCAAACGACAGGTCACTACTTCTCGATCGAGTGCGGAGGCCGAATACCGAGCTGTCGCAAATGCCGTTGCCGAAACGACTTGGTTACGCAACCTACTTTCCGAGTTGCTCTGCCCACTTCCGAAAGCCACCATTGTCTACTGTGACAACGTTAGTGCCGTCTACCTATCCAGCAATCCCATTCAACACTCTCGTACGAAACATGTGGAGATCGATATACACTTTGTCCGAGACAAAGTTGCTTTGGGACACGTTCGAGTTCTTCACGTCCCATCCGCCTACCAATTTGCTGATATCTTCACGAAAGGTCTCCCCACTCAACTGTTCCAACAGTTTGTTTCCAGTCTCCACGTTCTCTCCTTTCCCGTTTCGACTGCGGGGGTGTATTAGCGTATATTATTATTATTATTATTATTTATTATAGTTACCTTATACATTAGGTTACCTTGTATATTAGATTACCTTGTGTAGTAGGTTAGGGTTTCCTACATGTAACTATATATATTCTCAATATACGTAAGAGATATCATTCTCTCTTCTCTCCAATTATTCTCCTTCTATCATAAAGTACTATTTACCCTTGGCATTTTATCAAAGAGAACTAGTACTTATTTCTGCAAAATTAAGCAAATAGTGATATGATGCTGCCAGATAGATATGCCCGACACAAGAAATGGATGGTGATTATGCATGGTAGTGAAAGGATTAATAAAAAAGGTTTAATGAAAGAATGATTATAATATTCTCATGACAGCATTTGGTCTTGAAATAGTTAGCTGGCTGAGATTCATTGTAAGAACAAATTCTTGTCTCCCGACTTTCTAGGTCAATGATATTATGAAACAAATCTGTTGTAATTTAATTGTAAGAAATGACCGGGCATTTGGTCTAGTGGTATGATTCTCGCTTTGGGTGCGAGAGGTCCCGAGTTCGATTCTCGGAATGCCCCCTTTTTACTTTTTTAATTATTTAACCTATTAAATTATGCATAATAATAGTCTGTTGACAGTTTTAATATTTTATTTTTTATCACGAAGATTAATGCAGCAGCAAAATAAGATTATTTCTTGATAGTTGACATCAATTTTTTTAAATACTCCTCCCATGCAAAATTCAAACCGATACTTGTCTTTCACATCAAAACCGTGTTAGAGAATTCAGAATATTGAACTTCTAAATAGTTGTTCTGGTTGAGACTTGAGAATAATCTTAGTCTTCGGACCACACTGAATATAATAACACTTTAATTTCCTGTTAATTAATTCAACTATGTTCTAATTAAAAAAATGTTACATTGGCAGAACAATCAACTCAATTGGTCAACTTTTAAATATACAGATTAGTAAACTAGAGAAATCTCGTAATATTTTAATTTCATTAACCCCCTCCCCAAGATGTCAAACCATGTCGCATACGAAACGAAGAAGCTTCCATGGAATTTATCGAAAATACTTTTACATTTCTTCTATAAATCCCGAGAAACAAAACAAAATAAACCCCAAACAGACAAAATTCCGAGAATTACACTACCGAACGATAAAATTGCACAAATGTTCATCTGTGGCAGCAGAAGCTTCAGCCATCACAAAAAAGATGAAAACTACAACAACCAGTACTGTACCTTAAAGAGATCGAAAAGGAGCAAAAGTTTAAGCAATAGCAGCAAGATTAACCCTTACTCAAATCGAGGCCTGGACAAATTCTCAGCACTTCTATCCGATCTCGACGAAAAGAAGCAGCAGATTTACATGCAGATGGGGTCCGAGGAAATCTCCTTTGTCCAATTCGTCTACTCCAGCGATTCAAAACACGTAAAACCAATCGTGGTCAAAGTTAGGAACAGTAAGAACAACCATGGTTTCCTCAAGCGTACTCCTTCGAACATGAGCAACACTGTAACTCCCAATCCTGCAGATGCAGCAGATAAAAGTTTTGACGCAGTCGAACGAGATAGAGAAATGGTAACAGTAGTATCCCAAGAGCAGAAGTCTACAAGATGGAAGACAAGCTTTAGGCATGACGATTTGAGGAGACCTAATTCTTATTGCTTTTTCGCAATCTTGGTTTTGATTTTGCTGTTTCTAGCGATTTATGGGCGATCTTTCGCAATTTTCTGCACAACAATGAGCTGGTATTTGATTCCTAACATAGTCGGAGGAAGCTCATCGTCATCAAATGGGAATAAACGATTGATTTTTCGTCCCTAGATTGTTATCTCACTTAGTTTTATTAAATTTGGTATTCTTTATTTGGTTCGTTTTTAAACACAAGAATCCATGTTTGACATGTATGTACATTATGGGAATTTAGTAGTTGTATATTTATGTCTGCGTTTTCGTCTATATCAATTGGACAAAGTTACTTCTAAGAGCCTACCGAGCATGATTCCGATGTCATTTTTAAATTAAAAAATAATAGACTCCAGAAAAATTTTGATATGTTCAGCACCTACTCTAACTACTCCCTCTATTTGGTAGACTATTTATCATTATCAAGTTAATAAATTCTATTGAAAGCTCCCCAAATTCTATTTATAAATTAGTTTTTAGTTTATCTAAACGAGATGATATATTTCAATGTGTGATGCAAACATATAAACCTGAAGACTCTGAACGAGTCAACATATAAACTCGCCCACATTTAACATGCACGCAATTCTAATTCTATGCATTTGTAAGGAAATGATCCAATTAAAGGTACAAGTCAACCAAAACAAAGGCGGCCAGGCGGGTAAAAAATAATGAGACAGAAATTGCACAAATAGACAATAACCATGAAAATTCGTCATGGGAACAGTTATGTCTTTCTTTGTAATAACATATTTTTATCCAATTACGAGTAGTCATGATGTCAGGTCAACAAACATTAACCTTGAGCCCAAGGGAAAAAACATCATTTTGCTTACCTCAATTCTAAAGAATTTCGGCTCAACCATGAAATCTTCTGTGACATCCAAACTTCTCTTCAATCCTGTAATTTAGAGGAACTAAAGTAACTATTGTGGTATACGCAAGTTTCACGTAATAATTTCTTCGTAACTTAAACCATGTAAAGGCATGATCTTTCAAACAAGAAGAATTCTTGTCATTGCAAGATATTTTGCCATTGGGACCAAAGGTTAAACTTGTCTTGTCATTATTACCTTCAACCGCTTTCTCCGTGCATCGTCGGGGCTAATTCGAGAGACTTGTGCATGCCTTCCAGAAGCTTCATTTCTATAATTTCCCACGTCAGTTACCGGCATCCATCTTTTACTTTGTTCCGATCGGTTTCTACTGTTCCGAAAGAACCCATCTCTGTCCCATGTCACTTCATAGTCAGCCCTTAAGCGTGATCCTTGCTGCATTAAGTACAAGTTGTTTTCTCAACAGCAATTCTTATTCAACACGAGTAAAATTAATTGCAGGAATTATGGGCCAAGTCTATATTTTACTAGTGTAAGTTCTTAAAATGAGAGATGAAAAGACCAAAATATGGCATAGGAAGAGCAGAAAATTATTACATGTTCCCAGCATATTTCAAATTAAACGAGTCAAAAAGTTGAATGAATAACTGTCTACCTTATTTAAGGAACGGCCAGATAAAACCTTCAAGGCGTTGCAGAAGTCCTTGTGACTTTCAAACTGAACCACAATCTTACAATTGAGACCTGTAACTAGGTTCCCGCCATCTTCATCCTCATCCTCACCTATGTCATTGTCCTCACTAACATCAAGATTCCTATCGATGAAAAAACAGTTCAAATGTATAATAATCAGGTGAATGAAAATAGAAAACGATAGCATGTCTCGCCACATGGGGTTCTAGAGCTCACTTATAAATTTTGACATCAACATCACCTTCGACGAAATTACAAAGATTACGAAGACAAAATGTCAATCTTTGAAAACCTATTATTGTCCAGAGAGCTTGCCCTATCTTACGAGTACTTCGTATATACTATCTTATGCTTACTCGTAACTCTAAAGTAACAGCAGAATTACGAAAATGAAGCAGGGGTGATGTGAGATTCAAAAATCATGTTCCACGAGATATTAGCCACTTATGTTAGCAATGAAGCGTCAGTACGACCCATCAAACAATAAATCAAAAGCCAACATTAGCACAAACCTTATTTTCCCAAACACCGAAAAGATTGTGTGAGTAACTAGCATTGATGGTTTTGACGAAACTCGAGGCTCGGCAAACCACCTTGAAGGAAGGCCTCTCAGTATAATTGTATCAGGCTGCTGCTTCTCACTTCTCGAATATCCTACCAAATACAAAATTACTCATTGATAAGAAATATCATACTTGAATCCACACATTACTGCATTTCATGTATGAAACAAAAGGAAACCCTACAGAAAATCAGACCGAATTAAATTGACTAACCTCTCGTTCCAAACGCGGCAAGCTCCTCCCACTCTTTCTTCATGCCTTCAAAATCATCCCCTTCTGGAACCTCAGCGTTCAACCTAAATTTGACGCCCTCCAAATTCAGCTCGATTCCATCAATCTCCGCCGCGAATTGCTTCCTCCACTTCAGAAACTCCTCCCCAATCGCGTCTTCCCCATTCAGACGCAGCCTCTTCGACAGAAACCCTAAATCCACCACGATGAAGCTCCCACGCGCGACGGGGTCCTCGCGCTTCCGCTTTTTCAGGTCTCTGTACTTGAATACCTTGATGTCTTCTTCCGGAACAGCTACCGAGTGTGATTTTCTGAGATAGTCGATAAATGAACGCTTGAACTTCCACTCGTCGATTGGGGATACGGATTTGTCTGCGCGGTGGATTGTTAGGTTGAGTTTAATCCGGGGGGTGAGGGAGAGACCGGATTCGAGGTCGGACGACTCTGTTGGTAGGAGGGTTTTGTTAGGTTCAGGGTGGCTCATGGTGGAGCGTGGTGGCGACGCTCGGTCGGATTCTTTTTTTTTTTTCTTTTTCCTATTTGTCGCCACAAGTGGACTTGTTTTTCGTACCGTCGGATTGACTGCTGATGAGAGGGCAATTTTATATTTATTGTTTTAATTCAGCCTTTATTTTTTGTGTTTGCATAAATGACCCCTCTAACTGTGTACTATTTCATTATAGTCCCTTTTTTTAACTTTTCTTACATATATTAGTCCCTTTGTTGTAGAATTATTTTATTCTACTTCATATCACCTATTTTGATCAAGTAAATTTTAATTTAATAGACTTTGGGTAAATGAATATCCATTCATTATTTGAAAATATCAAATTTAGGGTTAATTTTTTAATTAGAAGACCCAATTTTTTTTAAAAAAATAGCACACATTTTGAATGTGCTTTTTAAATATTTTTAATCCATAAAAAGAGTCGAAATTACATCAAAAAATCGAAGCCCAACCCTTCTTCAAGCTTGATTTCGGATTTTCGAATTTTTTTTTTTTTTTGCTATTTGCAGTTTTGGGGGTTGTTAGATATTTTTAAAAGTTTTGGGGGTTTTGTTGTAAACCGCGAATAGCAATTTTGTGACCGCAAAATGCAAATAGCATTTCATATTTCAGAAACACATCCAAAAAGTGTGATATTTTCGAAAAAAAAATAGGCCAAATTTATGAAGCTAGGTAAAAAGGACTTGAATGCTAGAACTCATATTTTATTTTACCTCATCAAAGGGGAAATTAGTAAATTACCTCAAATAGAGTTTCATACCTTCTTTAATTATTAAATTTTAATTAAAAATTAAAAAAGAGAGAAAAAGAGCGCATCCAATAAATCTACATATATTTGTAATTTGTAATCAAAGAAAAAGCAGAAAAAATATATTTCAATATCGTCTCCCCTCCCAAACCCCCGCCCCCATCCTCTCCCTCGAGCCGTTTCTGTACCGGTGGATTCGCCGCAGATCTGAAGCACCGTCCTCCCTTATCTCCGCCGCCTCCGCCGTGAATCAACACTTCCGTCAACTTTTTCTTTTTCGCTATCCCACCGTTAATTGTCTCTTCTCCAACCCTTACGTTACCGTTTCTCTCTTTCCGTCTGTAATTCCACCGAAGCCAAAAACACTCACCACCAATTTGATTAACTTCTTCATAGGGGTTACGACGGTGGTTCGAAACCCTAATTTTGATTTCGTCCTTGATTCCGCCACCACTAAAACCCTATTACCCCCTTTCTTAATTGTTAATGGACCGTACTTCGAGATTTCAGAACAATTTGCCTCTGAGCAGCGGGAGTTTCAACAAGCCTCCGCCAATTCAGAACGACGGCGTTGCGATTAAGCCATCGCAGCCAACGCTCCATGACCGATTTACCTCCTACCTGAAGGAGAGGGAAGAGGAGCTTAGGGTTTTTGGTGGTGGGGCAGCTTTGCCCTTGAGCACAGATGAAATTGTCCGCCTTTACGAGATTGTGTTGTTGGAGCTCACTACTAATCTGAAGCCGGTGATTACAGATCTCACAATAATCGCAGGAGAGCAGATTGCGCACAGCGAGGGCATAGCCGATGCCATTTGTGCTCGGATTATTGAGGTATAGCATATACAGGGTTACTCTACTCGGACTTGTCGGCAGCATTGTAGTTGTTGTAATTTGTAGATTAAGTCATCTTCAAGTGTATTTTGGTTGCAATTGGAGTTGTAGTGCAGAAAGTTCGTTCGAAGTTGAAATTCTATTTCTTTCTTTCTTTCTTTCTTTTTATTCTTTTTTTTCCCCTATGCTTCGTGATCATACAGATTAAAGCAACATAAAAATTAACTATATGTCGGGTATGGAACTGAAAACAAGTCTCAATTAACATTTAAAAGAACACACACAAGCTGCCAAAATTTAACATAATTAATTGATTTACTGCAATTCTTTAAATTGAGAAAGATGCAATATTGTTTGAATCTCTTAAGTTGAAATCTCTCTCAAGGAAAAACAAGGTTTGTGGAAGTGGAATATTGAAATCAAAAGAGATGGCTTTGGTTATGAAGCACATATGAATCAATGTTGTTCTTGATTCTTTCTTTTATATGTAAATCTTTGTTTTTGTGTCATTTGACTATAGATAGGCTGACTCTTGTTTTGCCGTTGTACTTGGTCGGGTATCATATTTGTTGCTGTATCCTGTTGGTTATGTTTCTTCAGAATTTCTTGCAAATGACTCCTCTTGGCAAAAGTTTATATGTTGGCTTGACTGTTTGGTCTCTGTTATAGGTGGCATTATAGTCATTGACACTAAAGAACGAATAGAAGAAAAGCAGAACACTAAATGCCTTCAGTACTTTACTTTATCCTACGGATTATAACTAAATGCCTTTCCCTACTAAATTTATTGGCCAGAACCTGAATTCGTTTTCCTCTTCTTCTCTAAAGATATGTGATATATGAAATGGTTTCTATTCCTTTTTGTGAATGCTTGACCATGTGATGTTTAGACTGCTCATAGTTTAAACTTCAGCTTTTGATTTTGTTGTTACTTTTCTCATACAATTCTTTTGAATTGTCTACCCTGATTATAATATTTTGTGGCTTTGTGATGCTTTACATATTTGGTACTCAATGGTTGACATCGAGGAGACAAGAGCATGTGTTCTTCCTGAAGCTTTTCCATAGCTGCTAATATTGTTTTTCTATAAAAAAAAAATGCCAATCTTATCATTGTTTCCTTTGTCTGTAATCTCAAAGACAATGTCTTTTTTTTTTCTTCCGTTTCTTTTCTTTTTTCCCCATTAAGGGTTCAACATTTTTGTTGTTTAATTGTGCTGTTATCAGTTATGCTTGTTCTTTTTTATATTGTTTCTCTTTTGCTGATATTGGCATATGAGCATCTAATTGTTGATTAATGATTTACTTGGGTTAAAAGTTCTATGTTTGATTTTTCCAACTTCTGATAATTGTGTTTTCCAGGCTCCCGTTGATCAAAAACTGCCTTCTTTTTACCTTTTGGACAGCATCGTCAAGAACATAGGCAAGGACTATATTAAACACTTCTCTGCGCGCTTGCCTGAGGTGAGAATTATTTGAATACATTTTGAGCTTCAACTCTTTGCACATTGTTGCATCATAGCTTGATTATCGTGGTTTTAATATGCCTGTTATTGCTTTCATATGGTTTCAAAAGGTTTTCTGTGAGGCATATGCACAAGTACCCCCCAGTATGCACCAGCCAATGCGTCGCCTTTTTGGTACGTGGGGCCCTGACAGATATTTCCCGGTACCAGTACTTCAAAAGATTGAGGTACAATTGCGGCTCCCCCCTTCTGTAGATGGTCAATCGTCTGGCTTGACTTCTACAAGAGCTTCTGAGTCTCCTCGCCAAACACAGTATATACATGTAAATCCAAAATATTTGGAAGGACAGCGTCCTTTTGGACAGTCAACTGTAGATACTGTAAGCTTTACTGAAATCATAGTTATTTTTTTACTTCCATTCTCTATCATGTGTTCATATTGTTCAAGTTTATACATCGTTCCATTTTCATGCTACATATGGTGTTTCTTTGGATATTACAGCATTGCAATTTTTCATTTTCAGAAATTGGATTATTATGCACTTTTATTTTGGAGTTCTTTAGCACTTTGAAAATGAACAGATGTGCGATTAGCTAAAACCTAACATATGTTGATGAACTATTACGAAAACTGAAAATCTATGTTTACTAGTGCACTTATGAGATTTATACAACGTATCAGTTGATGGACACTTTAACTGCTGAAACAATCTTATTAGGAACCTGCCTTGGGGCATACCGACTATGTTTCTCATAATACCAAGCTATTCAATTTGCAGTTTGGAACTGAAGGAGTAAGCTCATCTGGTCGTGCAGGCATGACAACTTCTGGTCTTCGTGCTGTAAAAAGATCCCTGCCATCAGCTGCCAGGATCACTGGTTCCTCCTCTCCTTATAGAATTGGACCTGCGGGTCCTATATCACCTTCACTTGAGGATTTTAGTACGGATAATTCTCCGAAGAGAGTCACTCTAATT